GTAACGCTGCTTACACATGTGTCAGATTCTACCTGCTCAGAAGGAGAAGGACAAATGATTAAGAATGGATCTAAATTTGGGATTTGGGTCTAATTTTGGGATTTAGTCATATTATGGGATAAGCGTTTCAGTGTGTTACGGTCACAACATGGATGCCCTTGATGGGGCCTATATTTATATGTTATGCCGGTACAAAATGGAAGCACTGAATTTCACTGCTGTTGTAACAAAACCTTGGATCTCTGAAAGGGTCATTTTAAAAGAGAAGTGTGTTACTTTAGATTTTATTCTGTGTAATTTTTGACTATTTCTAATAATCCATTCATTATCAAATCTTCAGACAACATAAAGAGCAGCAGGTATTTTCAAATATAATTTATACAGAGACCTTCACGTCAGAACAGCCATTATGAACAAGTTATTGTACTATATTTTAAAATCTGCCACCAAAACAGTACTAAAAGCTTTCAGAGACAGGATACATCTAAGCTTCACTTCCTTTAGATCTGAAACATTCACAGGTGTTCCTGTCCATCCGACCACTGTTTAAAGACAATTCAACAAGATTAGTCTGAAAGTATGTGTAGCTGTCAAGATTCCCTTACTGAGAAAAGTAAATCAAACAAAAAGGCTGCTGGTGTTCTCAGCATAATGGACTGACCACCAGTCCAGACCTCAACATCACTGAAAGTGTTTAGGATTTTCAGAAGCAGAAAATACAACGCTCGCCAAGTGGGCCGCGTTCTCGGATAAATCCGAGCTATCAGGTGACGAGAAGAACCGCCAGACCCGCCTGCTGCTCTCCTATTGGCCGCGCTGAAACGATTGGCCGAAGTCCATCGCGCAAAATTGGAAAAACGGCCCTGCGGGTCTGCCACGGTGGGCTCCGTGTTCGGCTGTGCTCCTCACTGAAGCTCCACCCGGTGAATTTTCATTCATTCAGCGTTCAGAGTGAAAACAGCTGAGAATTGCGTTGCATGCCCAGCTCTCGCATCTGATCGCTTTAATAAGTCAGCGCTGCTGTCTGTCGCAGATCACGGACAGACTTTATCCTGAGTAGAACCGTATAAATGATCCTTGGTCTGTTTACCTGCTAAAGTGAAGACTGTCTGTGTGTACGGCGAGCATCGAGGTCTTCACCATAAAGCAAAGCTGAAGCGGACTGGGGCCGTTTTGTTTTCACAATGCACAAATTAATCGAACCACAAAACGAACTACAAACGAACCGAACTGAGACCACCTCGAGAGGTGGTCTCAGTTCGGTTCGTTTAGGGGGCCGTTTAGGGGGGTCTGAGTTCGTTTGGCGTGTTCACATATGCAAAAGAAACCATGACTCAGCGGTCTGAGTCCACTTCAGACGCTGAAACGGCCCAAGTGTGAAAACGCCCTTAGATTTTTTTCCTGATGCTGAAAATTGAATAACCTGTATTTAATGGCCATTTTGACAGGAAATTGTGGATAGAGAGAGAGGGGGAGAGGGGAGGAAAGGGAGAGAGAGTGAGAGTTCAGCCAGTAAATAAGTAGTCTTTGAATGTAACATATAAACTGTTGTGACAAACATCTACACCATTATGTTCATGTTTTAGGCCTCAAAATCTGAAATACAATAACCTATGACATTTAACCTTTAATAAATTAGGGTGCTTATTAATTCCACCTTGATACAATGATATTAAAACAAGATAACAAATATATATGAAAAAAGCAAAAATGACCACGCAACCTGAGAAGAATTCAATAAACATGATGCTTTTTGATGTGTATGAAATCATTACTGAGAATGAAAGCATGGAAACCCTGACTGTTCTTTTCATAAACGATATTGTCTCACACCGCACATTAATACTTTATTCGATCAATGTAGCTAGGAAAGCGTTTCTGGAAAGCTCGGATTGCCTGTGCAATTTCATCTGAAATCCCCCCTAGTCCCCCCCGACTCTTGCTCCAGGCAAGTAGGAAGATGAGCAGAAGCAGCACACGCTCATGATATTTCGCAACCCCCATGTTTGGTGACAGCAATCACCATGACGATCCCGCACCATGCTGCCACACTGGGCCGAGCATGGGAGGCGCTCAGCATGAAGTGGCCACAGCATAAAAAGACACGAGCATGGCTGCTCTGAAAAGGAACACAGTTCAAATCAATACTGTCATTATCAGGGAGCCCGAGCTGAATTAGATGTCACAGCACCTGGGGCAAAGGGGGGCTGACACACATGACTATTATAAGAGTGCATGATGGATTGAGACAGCCTGGCCCTTTAAGAGAGCCCAACTGCCTGACTTGTATGCATTAGCAGTTAGCCTCCTCCATGCACTGATGGTCAGCTAGTGGACTTGGTCAATGAAATATATCAAAACAGTAGGGCCTGTATGTCTATAAAAGGAAATGAAGAGAGCTAGACTGTATTGGATGGCTGACTGAATGCGTGGCACCAAATGACCGCTTAGCGACAGGCACACAACGTCAACAGGCCTCATTCAGAGGAGTATTTAAGTAGGACAGAATCGAGAATGATGGGACATCAGGTCATACTGGCCACTCGTTGAATTTCCTACTAAACTCTGTCATAACATGTTGAACATAATTTAGACTGAAACATCATGCCTGAAATAATCATAGAATAAAACTGTAATTGTAAGCAAATAAGAATTAATGTAGAACACATGTAAAATATGTTCATTAAAAATAACCCACGTGATGATTGATTAGGCCTCATTAAAAGAGGTCATCCTTCATTTATTTAATTTCCAGCCATTAAGTACAAGTTATTCATTTTCAGGAGATATTTATCAGAAGATTAGACAAAAGATAATCTCACTACACAAGGAAGTGAGTCAGGGAAAAGGAGTTTCCAAAACAGTTAAAAAATATTAAAAGATATAGAGAAAAGGGGACTCAACAATCATGCAAGACCTGGTAGCCCACCAAACGGTCACTATCAGAAAAACAGTACTTAAAGCTTCCTTCTTTTTCAAAGATGGACAAGATCAAGCTCCAAAATTCTATGAGTGTTTCTGTCCATCCTTCCACTGTGAGAACTCTGTTCTATGGGTCTGAAAGGATATGTAGCTGTCAAGAAGACAAAAAAAAGACAAAAAAGTGGATATCTGAGATGTGGCGTAAAGTTTCATGGATTGATACTATGGGATTATCTGTATCATGAGAAGCAGAAAATGCAACCGACTTCTAAGACCGAACTTCCAAGTTGTGAAAAATACCTCCGCAGCTTTCTTTGTAAAACAGGCCCACCAAAAAGAATGGAACTGTGATCAAGGCAAAGGCTGGACATACTAGATACTCATAAATATATCTATACATCTATCTTTTTCCCCAGATACTGAAAAATGAATAAATTGTGCTTAATGGCTGTTGTGACTGAAAATTAAATAAATGAAGAGTGGTCTCTGACTTTTACATGGCCTCTCATGAAATCTGAAATGATGCGTTACAATCACCTGCTACACTTAATTCAGATACTTAATTTCACCTTAATACAAATCACATGAAAGTTACTCTAACCCATACACTTATAGTCACAAAAAGTAAGTTAAACAGAGCCCAACTGAGAACCATTACTAATTATTACTTAGGAAACATTTAAAATGCAGTATACTACTTTTTTTATATTGCTAACTTAAAAAGAAAAATAAAGAGAAGTAACAGCTAAAATCATAGAGTTTCTTAAAGTGTCCCTTAATATCCGGTTGCACAGAATTCCTGAATCCAAGTATAATTGTATACCATTTTGGTCACAGACCTAACAGCTGCTGATAAACTAGCAAGACCATTTAGTACTCAACACCACATTCAACATTTGTCAGTAAATCCTTTTCCCAACATTTTATTAAGCTCTAGAAAGCTGTAAATGGAGAAAGAAAGACAGAGGGGAAAATCACCTCCTTCCTTTTACTGGTGTGATAGTGGATGGATACAGATGTCTGGAGAGCATGATTCATGATCCAGACGAGGTATTGATTTGGTCTGGGACCATGCCCTGATTTATTGTGTCATTTTTTGTATATAAAGGTAGATTGAGAACACAAGTCTTTCCATTTAAGTGTGCAAAATAAAAGCAGCGTGGAGCAACAGAGCTGTCCGGCCGTGTGATGAATCACACCGTCCTGAGCCCAAACTCAAACCCACCGCGGCACTGTCTTCATCACACACAGCAGACACACAGCGTCCAACAACGCTGCTCCTGCCAGGCCAACATGCTCCCAACCAGCAGAGCAACTGCTGGAATTTTCCTCCCATCATGAACTAATACATGAATTGCTGCAGAAACCACCACCAATCTTTATTCGTTTCATGCATTTGCTTGCCCTGAGAGACAAGTCAAAGCGTAAAGGCAGGCACACATTCACTAATGCAGCATGGTGAACTGGATCCTGTAAAAGTGGTAGCAATTGTGGGTCAGAGTGTCTCCACTTATGTGCCTTGAGATTCAAGGTTGTTATTCACTAATATTATGATAGTCAGAACCAATGGTGAGCAATGAATCTGAACCCCACTAGTCCACATACTGATTTTCCTTTAAAACAGCACTAATGTCAGAGAGTTCTTTTCAAAAATTTAAAAAAAAAAAAAAAGTACTAAAAACTTTGTTACCAAAAATTCATCAGAAGTAGTTTGCCAGTTCAACTAACATGGAGGGCAACAACTATTATGAAACCTCGCAAATTAATGAACACCACTTTTCCATAATCACAGATGGCATTCCCTGAAGTCACTTTATGAAATGCGATGTCCATTAATATAAGAAGTATGCCCGACTGACCCGGATCTATAGCTAGGCTGCTGGTAAACTGTTTTTTACAAAGCTAAATGTGGATTTTTCCTACTTATAGTTTAGATGACCACTGCAGTTGCTATGACACTGTCTTAGCAAAAGACATTATGTCTTTCTCCACAAACATTTTTTAAAATTCATTCTCAGTTATTTTTAGAAGCAGAGTAGAAAAAGACAGAAGAGAAGGAGAAAGAGACAGGAAAGATGAACACAGAGCTACAGAAGTATTTATTGAGCATGCTACAGAGTTAAAGCAGAATACAGGAGAAAGATAGAGAGATAGAGGAAGAAAAAATAAAAGCCAAACACACAACAAAGTCAATCCTTTCCGCTTTGTTAGAAAAATGATCTTTTAATTGTGCCATGTTCAAACTATATTGAAACTTACATTTCTACAGAAGTAAAAAAAAAAAAATAACACAAAAAAAACCCCCCAAAAAAGCCCTAAATACAGAACTTATTTACCACCATCAAAATGTACAGTCCATTTATGTGGGAAACAAACCCATAAGATGTCTGGAAGAAAAGAGGTGGGGTAAGATTTTTTGTAACCGTTACATTTTGCATACTGGATAAACGTCAGCTTATCAGCTTAACTTTCAGGAAGTATAAAATGATGGATCTGCTTTAAAACAAACAAACAAACAAAAAAAAAAATATTGCGCACTCAGGAAATTAAGACTAAAGGCACAAACTTTGGTCCCACCAGGTTATCCTTCTTCTATATACTGTTCATGTCAAAACTTAAGGCTCACATTTGTTAGCTTGTACTAATGCATGCAACAGCTGTTCTCTGAACAAAGATTCTCAGAACTAACTAGACCTGTTAGCACATGCAGAAAAAACATCCTTTGTGTAAATCCAAAAAGAGAAACCTTGCAATAAATGCTCATAAAAAAGGGCAAGTGTAAATGCCTACTATGCAAAAATCAAACAAAAAAAAGAAAAAAAAAAATGTAGTTCAACATGTACTGTACTCTTAACCATCAATGTATTCAGTACATTAAAAAAGCAGCTTTAAAAAAAAAAAATAATAAATAAAATAAAAAAAATAAAAAAAAAATAAAGAAAAAAAACTTGGTGGTTGCACACTAGTATTAAAGCCTGTGGTGAACATTGAGCTCTCTAAAGAATCACTGTAAAGGTCTGTTATATACATTCCACTGGATATTTCACCACGATCCGCAATTCAAACTGACCAAATATGCAAAACACAGGACAAATGAGCACAAAAAGCAAGCAAACATGGACTCAAATTCTAAGAGGTAAGATTTCACACACTGTACAATTCACACATGGGAAAAGAAAGCAAAATTACTGTTTTTACAAAACTTTACACCTCTACAACAAAGAAGCCTGTGTCCTCATGTGGCTAAGTTGGGTTTATGAAAATGCAGGTATGTGAAAACTTTTATGCTAGTTGACTGAGTAAGGCACATTCTTTGTCAGCTAACTGTAATAAAAACAGAGGTATCAACCTCCTAGAGAGACTAACTGGGGGAAGGTTCATGACTCGCTAGCATACAGTGGGGACACTGGGAAATGGGGCAAGACAATTCATCTCTCATCTGAGATATTTGATTTAATGTTCACCCATGTTTTCATAAGGAATGACAGGTAAAAGAAAAGGGAAAAAAGGTGTCAAACTGTGGTCCCCAGTGTACCAGAACAGTCAAAAGGTACCGCCAGAAAACGTAAGACAAAGCAGGATGTCTCAGCTTCTTTAAATTATTGATTTGGAGAAGGAGACTCTCAAATGGTGGTTATTACCCATGTTGTAGTTGTGAAGGTCGATCAAACACTGAATGGCCTCTTCAATCGTAGACATCTGGATTAGAGCCATTTTGCGATCTCTGTGTATTTAAAGATATAGGGTTATCATCAAAGATCAAATCTGCGCAAAAACAACTTCCGATTCAAATTAATTGAAGAACTCTTCAGTGGACAGACAAACAAAAGAACTTACTGGAAAAACTTGAAAGCTTTCACAGTGCCTCCGGAGTTAGTGAACAGTACTCTGAGGTCATCTTCAGTTATGTCTTGTCTGTGAAAGTGACAAGAAAATGGTTGAGCATTCTGACATGTGAAACAAAGACTGACAAGTGGCAAGTGAGAGAGCTGCACTTACGGTATGTTTGACAGATGGAGGGTGGCAGAAGGAGGGAAGATATTCTGAAAGTTCTTAGAGCCGGGCTTTTTGAAACGATGTAGAGGAGAATTAGTGAAATCCTTGGTGAGGCCCTGATCATCCAAACCATCCCTAGGTAACTGTACCGTCTGATGTTTGGACATGGTAACACGGATGATCTTTGAATACATCTTCTGTCCATTGAGATGACTCATCGCTAAAGATTCAAGTACAACAGAATAAGAGAAAACAGCACATATTAAAAATCAAACTACTTCAAACTTCCAATGTGGGACAAATACAAGATTTAATTTCACACTTTGTTTCTTTAGCATTGCACAGGCACTGTGAATACCTGGATTCCTGATCCATGCGATGTCTGGGATTGGTTACATCCAATGTAATATTTAAAATGTGCATTTTACTTTCATTTAACCTAACCTAACCTAACTAGTTAAAACATTAACTCGAGTTAACTTTAGAATTACTTGTTATACTATTGGTAGTACAGCAGAATCCACTGCGGAGCAAAACAATTACATGCAGCTGAGTAATCACGAACTAAATTTAAAAATAAGCACCTCTGAACAGTGGACTTACCCTGTTCTCATAAGGAACCGCAACTGAGGCTTCTTTTCTGACTAAATTTTTTCTCTTTCGTAGTTTGAGAATATTAATAACTAGACATTCATAACTATTTCAGAAAGACAATGCCAAACTGCAACAATTAGGATCCTCAATTCCCAAACGACTAAGAAGTGTAACTGAAAGTAAAGGTGATGTAACACAGTGGTAAACATGCCTCTGTCCCAACTATTTTTAAGGGATCAAACTCTAAATTTGGTTATAGTTCAAAAATACAGTTAAGTTAGCCAAGTATGCTTTGTCAATTAAATAAAGGTTCGATAGAATTAACAAAATAACATATTTGTGTTTTTACTGCATTTTGTAAAATGTCTCAGTTTTTCCCAATTTGGAAATTGGGTTTGTGTGACAGTTAAATGTCCTGTCACTCAGAACAATGTAGTATGAAGTTTTTCTCCCTCTTTTCCAAACTCACCCAATTCAACAGTATGAACTGTGCTACATGCAAAATTCAGACCTCTTGAGCATGAAGGTCCAAGAAAAAGCTCTCTCTCCTACTTAATAGTGGCCCTAACAAGAGACAATTCAGAAAATAAAATCTTACCAAGTTGGGCTTGATTTGAATCTGCCATCTGTATCAATGCACTGTCTTTTTTGTTATAGAGGATCTTCACACGCTGCACATCACCATACACCCCTACATTAGAGCAACAAGCAGCAAGAGAGGCAGGAGGAGCAGAGGGGGAGGAGAGGGAGGAACAGTTAGCCTTTAACAGAGTGAAACTTAGACAGAGTGGAGAGACAGAAAGATTTATCATAATGGAGAGACAGAACATTCTTCCTAATGAGGAAAACTAATTACAGTCTGAACAGAAGCAAAGGATTCTGAGATACCCTCAAATAAAAAAAATAAATAAATGTGAAAAATAAGCTGAGATCATAGTACACGCAAAAACAACATGCATGCATTAAAGTAAATCCAAAAGCACATCAAGAGTCAGAGAGAGGGGGAATAAACAACTGAAACAAACTAAAAACTAGCGTACTAAAAACCAATAAATGTGAACATTAAACAAAGATTAAGTAAAATATGGGGGGAAAAAATCAAATAAAACCAAAACAAAACCAAAAGAAAGGTAGAGTGCTAACGAGAACATACCGAAGAGGGTAAACAGACTTTGGGGCGTAACCATCTTTAGAAGGAGAGAAGAGCAAGCAGCGTGAGACAGGTAGAGAGAAGAGTCGAGGAAGAGCGGAGATGAACAGATCATCCATAACGGAGGGTGGTTTCCCGCAGAATGGTGAGGTGGTCATGGATCATGGTTCAAGGCAGTTAATTGGGGGCAAGTTCATCCGAGGAACATATTTGTTCAAGCACAGAGCATGAACAGTGAGTAGTGGCCAGGGTGGGGCAGAATTGGAGGAGACATATGGGGATGAGAAGGGAGAGATTTTGAGAGATAGAAAGGGGAGGGGAAAGGGAGGGAAAGGGGGGGGATAAGGAATGATTGGGAGAGGAGGGAGGAGAAGGGAAGGGAGACAAATGCAGAATAAAAACAAAAGTGGGGGACAAAAAAATATATAAAACAGGTCAGTACACAGGAAATGCAGGAGTTTGGTCAGAAAATGACTGCTCTAAGCATTTCTAATCAGAAAAGCAAATAATTGTGCCAAAGTAGTCACCCAGAATTAGGGTAGGATACATTTATTTAAAATAAAAAGCCTCTAATAATGATAACAATAACATCACGAGAAAAGGGGAAAACATGCAACAGACTTGAGTTCAGCTTAAGCATGGTGGATTTACAAAGCAGGTAAACTGTTCACAATCGTGCACTGAAACATGGCCAAATTTCCTGCAAGTGCCATGCTGGGGTAGGCAAGAAAACCACCTTTCAAAGTTATGGCATGAGCAGAGAAAGCCATGGTTGACCTGGCAAACAGACTTAAAGGCATTACCAAAAAAGGTGGGCCACATTAAAAATTTGGAGACTTCTCTGAAGGTAGACGAGTTAACACTTTCATATTTTGTACAATGTTTCACAAGTGAGAGGAGGTCAGGTGTCAGAAGAGCTTACAGACAACAGCAACATTAACCAGTTTTGTTTCAGACCAATGTAGCAGAGAGAGACAAAGAGCAAGAGAGAGAGAGAGAGAGAGAGAGAGAGAGAGAGAGATAGAGGGAGAGAGAGAGAGAGAGAAGAAAGAAAGAGAGAGAGAGAGAGAGAGAGAGAGAGAGAGAGAGAATTAGACACATTGACCAAGTTTGAGCAACAGCATAGTTTAAGGATTAGACAGGGCCATGAGTAACTTCAGGGAGAAAAGTAACTGTCAGAAGACAAAAAGATGAGAGGCAGACACATGCAAGCAAGAGTGTTATGTAAAAATGTCTACAATTTAAAAACTTCTAAAATTTATGAATTATTGTTATCATTGTAACATACCAAATAATTTGTTTAAAAGATTACTACCAATTAGTCAAAGTTAGAAAAAAATAAGTTTTAGGCACAATGATTTGATTAACATCTTAAATATGGCCTTCTTGTCATGCCTTGACATCTCAAAGGCACTAAACTGGTGCAACCACTGAAGTACTAAAGATTTGGTCCTATAAGAAATCCAACCAAACAGATGCAATTCCAACCAGCCTTACAGAATTTATCCATTGTGTATTACACTGATCAAAATAAGCATGGATACATAGAACAATGGCATGACTGAAAGGCAACGCAAAGATACATAGACTCTGAATGGTAATGGAGGGCTGAACCAAATGTAATGCCTAAAGAAGGACTGACCTCTTCATTAAGATTGCTGACTAAGAGCACGCCACTGCTGCCTGAATGTCCCGACAAAGCCACTCTCCCTGCCGCTGCTGCTGCTGCAGCCGCTGCGCTTAAAGGGCTCAGCGCACCTGAAATTAGACAGATAGGTCAGAGGAGGCAGTGCCAGAAGGGTAACACTGTAAATTATACATGCCATTATGGTGATTAAACAATGTAAAAAGGAAAGAGTACTGAACAAGCAACATGTATTTCCTCTTTATCTAAATGTAGGTTAAGAAGGATGGTGCAGTACAGTATATTCAGTAATAAGCTTAATATTAAAAAAAGTTTGAATGTCACTGGGGAAATGTCACAATATTTGAATTAAAAGACCTTATGAACAGATTCCTAGCAAAAGGTCAAATGGATCACAGGAAAGCATAATTTGCATGATTTCATCTAACTTAAGTGCAATTTTTAGTTAATTAAGCCTCAATCATAAAGAAACACTATCCTAGAGAACAAACAGAAGACATAATTAGGATATCTGAATAGATCTCAAAAGTTATTCCAATGATTACATCATAGTAGACTGGCTAAATCAGTAGAAGAACATGCTGACATAGTATAGTCAAAACTTTCCAAAGCTGTTTTTAATTTTTTTTTCCCCCTACCACTCTGCTCTAAACAATCTTCAACAGATGCTAACACTGTGTCCATTCTTTCAAAATGTAAACAAAAATACATACAAATGAGAATTCTCAAAAAACTGCTGAAAGTTGATATGACGAGTAGCTAAAACCAGGACAACACTCAAGATAAACTGTAATTAACCAATATGTTCATAAAACACAGTCACATTCCCATATACAAGGTTTCAGTGAGGTCATATTACCAAACATACAACAGACATAAAAATAATAAAATGTAACATGTCTTAAGAGAGGCATGAGAACCTGAAATGAGAGAGACAAGGCCCAGGCCCACAAAGACACAGAAAGAGAAGGAAAAAAAAAGAGGGAGATACCTGGGATCTTACCGAGCAGGGAGTTAGAGTCCTTGCTAAAGGCTGCTGCCACAGAGGGATCCACAGCAGGCTGCCCATCACCTGAAGGCAGCTCTGGTCTGGTGTAGTCCCTGCTCTTATCATTGTTGTACTTCACATTCAGGTTAACAAGTTTGGAGTAGTCTATGCGGAGTGTACAGCAAGCATTGTAAATGTTCTGACCATCCAGCGCCTGTGAAAGGCAACAAGAGTTATGCAGTTAAGTAAAAAGTTGAAAACAGTTATACAAACTACCTGAGCACTGAGAGCACACTTAGCTCTAAAGGTTGCACCCACCACTTTGGCTTGTTGAGCACTCGCTGCATCACTGTACTGTAGCAAAGCCTGAAACTGATTGTTCTTTGTGAACGTGATGATTTTCATGACTGTGCCAAACTTTGAGAAGATCTACTGACAGAGAAAGGAGAGAATTGAGAAGATCTATCAACAAAAGGGGGAGAAAAACATATGAAAAACAGAATTATAATAAGGATGAAACAACAGATTGTGAACAATCAGCACTGGAAATGCAAACAGCTCTTATTTGTTAAAACTTCTAGGTCTGGCTAAATGTGTGACACAGGTCTGTAGAGTGCCCACCTGCTGCAACACATCCAATGTGACAGGGTAGAACATGTTGTCAATGATAATCCTCAGCACTGGACTAGAAGGTGACGTGAGAGTACCATCACTGGAGCCTGATGTCGGGGTTCCACCTGACTGAACAACAGATACGGCAAAATCCAGATTTCAGCCTAGATAACCAATTCAGACCAGCCTTCTTTGTTTATCTGACATTCTGTAGTAGTCTTGTGAGGCATTTCAGATGATTTAATATTCAGTTCAACTTACAACAACTATAGTTTTATGTCTCTCAGAAGTATTTTATATTTGTAATTTATACAGTTCTCTATAATTGCGGCTGTAACCGCAATTTCCTTCAGCACAAATAAGTTTTTATCTCTCATCTATTTGTGAATGAGGTTTGTTACCTGGTTTGCATTGTCTGTCTTAAGTTCTTTGTGATTGGAATACTGTATGAAGACAGGGACATTTCGGACATGTGGTGTAACAGCTGAGTAGTAGTTCACCATGGTAATGGCTGCCTCCTCTGTACTCAGTTCCAGGAAAGCCTGCACAAAAGAAAATATTAAAATATCTTTTTTGTCAAATATACAAATAAGTTAGGAAGGAAATAATACTGAATAAAAAAATATTCACTGACCTGGTTCTTGCCTTTAAGAGTAAGGATATTAGTGACCTTTCCAAAAGGCAATCCTAAAGCAATGATATCTGCCTCTGAGACTTCATTGGGTAGTTTTCTGATGTGGAGGACACGCGAAGGCGGAGCATCCCCTACCCTGTCTTCAACTCTTAACTTTTTGCTGTCACTTCCATTGGATGTGCCATCTAATAACAGAACGTCAAAAAAGCATGCATAAGGCCACAGAAGGAAATGTATGAGAGTACCTGCAGTTTCTTCATTCAAATAAAGGCATTTTTCTATAAACATGTTAAACAGAGCAGTCTTCTGAGGAATCATAAGATGCAAAGCACATGTAATCACAATTCTAGGCACATGTCTGAATGTGTGGGTGCCCACCTACAAAGGAGCACAGGGTTACTCACAAACAAGCTACCACACCAGAAGAATGGATCTGCTAATACAATACTTTCACTTTGGAGCATTCATTACCCTTTGATTTCTTTTAATACTTTTGGTAGCTCAGCAAGTTTATGTAAAATCTGTTCTGTGGACAGAAAGACCCTACTTACCACTGATACTGCTCATCCCTGAGTTTGGACTGTTGTACATGCTGCTGGACAACAGCTCATCTGATCCTCTCTGAAGCAAAAAAAAAAGAATGGCAACAAAAATCAAGCAAGAAATAAAACTGTGCCCTCCAATAAAGACACTTTCCATTTGCCACCGTCAAGAAACAAAGTACAGTTCTCTGAAGACTGCTTGAGGAATCAGAACATATAAAACACCAGCCAACACAGGCAGTCTTTTCCCCCTTTTTCCTAAGGTGCTTTTAATCTTGTAGAGTCTAGAATGTCAGACACTGTCATCTCATCCAAAGCTCCCTGAGATCCCAAAAGGCCTCCGTCTGTCTGTAGTCATGGCCAGCCAGGCGCTCAGAGTACAGCTAAAAGTGACTGATAGGACAGTAAGCAAATGTCGAGCCACTACATAGCACACAGACTTCCTAACACAACAACCTTTGTTTGGCAGCTGCAACAAATAATTCAGTCTAATCTTTCATCATGGCACATATAGTTAGCCCAGCAATTACAGGGCTAGCTAGCTACAAAACAGAAAGGAGCTTGCCTATGAACCAAGATGATGTGGGTTCTCTGAGCTTCTAGATTTTTTTTAGTTAGCACCTCAGCCCAACTTACTCCTTTAGCCTGAGTTCTGGACCCTGGCTCTGACCAAAGGAGGGAAAAAGAAGAGGGGAAAAAAAAAGAAAAATACTTAAATTTCTCCATTACACAGCTACCTATTAACAGAACAACATGCATCAAAATGAATTGGACAAAATAGCTTGAAAGCAAAAGTTCAAAACAAATTCTATTAAAAAAAAAAGTCAATGTTTTTTTTTCCCTCAGCTACTTCCCCAACACAAATGGGTTAACATCATTTTGAAGGGAGGAAAATTCTGTTGGTGGGACACAAACCAAGTTAGGAGATCTGCTATCAGAGGGTATTGCTCAAAAGAACAAGTTTTTCCTAACCATCTTAGACATAAACAGGGCCCATTCAATTACTGCCAGTCTAATATTATGAAAGCTGGACATGGAAACTTGAGGTAGGCCTACATCAAATATCCAAGGGACAATTCTAAATTTCCTCTACTCTTTCAATGACAAAAATATCAGCCACAGAATATCAAATAATAAACTTTAATGGTCTTGGCAATTCCTTTTCCATTGAAAAAAAACAAATTATGTTGAAGTTACCCATGGCCTATTCTTTGTTTTCTCAGGGACATCATCTAATGAAATTGGCTACACAAACATCAAAGTGGAAAACAACACATCAAAACACAAATATTATAGCCTGGGAAAACCACTGCGCTACCTCAATCCTAAGGGACAAAAAATGGGTAGAACTGAAATGAATACAGGTAGATTTTGCCATTATTTGGGTGAAAACACCTATTTTACCAACCATGTTGAAAATGTGCAGACCAAAAATACTGAGCTGCCTAACTTGCCACAAAAAGCACACTTGCAAAGCTGTTTTGCTTCTTCTGGAAACAAAACACACAGAAGCCACATTCTAGGTATCCACAAACAATAAAAAAAAAAATTCTTAGGAATGACAGAATTGAAAGCTAAACCTGCTGACTGGTGCTTTACACTGTGTGATCACATCACAAAAAACATGAAAAAGGGCTTCTATCAGCCACTACCATTCTAAAATTAAGGATTTCTACACTGCATTCTGTTTACTCATGGACTCAGAAGTGTACTACCAGTAATAATGATACAGTGATTTCCAGACCATCAGCCTCTCTACATTTTAGGGCTTATCCGCAACAGAATGCAGCTAAATGGGAAATGCTTTTAACCCTCAGAACAGCAGCAGCACAGAGCACAAATAGTTCCCTTTTCTGAGTGTCTTCCATGAAAGAGAAAGAGTGAACAGTTAAAACAGCTCAAATTTGATAGTGGCTTGTATAGCAGAAAATTTGTTTCTAGTTCTTAAACCACCTCCGACAGTTCAGTGAAAATACAGCTGAATTATGTATTGGGAATAAATTGAACACAATAAGGTCAGCTAGTCATTTTCCACAAAAGACTGAGTAAATTCAATGACCGTGTCTTAAGTACAGCTAACGACACATTGTCATTTTTTAACATACAAAGAAAATCATGATTACAGGATGAACAGAGGCCATTAACAAGCTGCAATGCAGCTATGCCCAAAGAAACCCCATAGCCATTCTGGTAACCATGGGGTCAAATTTCTGTTGTGGTTTCGTCTGGCCTTGCCACTGTTTTATACCTGTACATAAACGGAAACAGTCAGGCCTCAGAGAGGCCGGGTAGGTGTATTAGTGATCGAAAGCTATTGAAACGACTTGCTCCACTGGCCTATAATGAATTGCAGAGCCGATGAATGTAACTGATGAAAAGCTGAGTACAGCTTACATCATTGTGCTATTAGCCATGATTGATTTTTTTTTTAAACTCTGGTTTAACACAAAACCATTTACGCTACGTTCACTCAGCAGGTAAGTGGCCCAAATCTGATTTTCTCACCAAATCCGATTTTTTTGTTTGGCTGTTCACATTATCTTTTAAATGTGACCTGTATGCGACATTAGTCTGAACAGATCAGCTCCTAAACCGACCCGCATGCGCAAAAGAACAACGCTTCACGTGGCTCGTGAAGAGGTAAACAATCATGACGGCCAGCGTACGCCAGTCACTCCTGGAGCTTTCAGTTTCATCTTTGCCAGCATCACAGGAGCGATTATGGAGTTCCAATGGTTGACGGCTGGGCTCATCACCCAGAATGTGTTCGCTGTAAAAAGGGCACATTATTTGGCCACGGCCACTTCTTTGGTTTGTGTCCTCGGATTCTTTAAAATTTTGGTGACGCTGCAGCCTCGGTCTCCTCCGGCCATGTGCGGCTGTTCCGTTCAAAAGCTCTTTGAACACGGAGCGGTTTGATGAGTCTCTTCTAATTTTTTGGTACAGAAACATCAGCCTAAATGTTTATGAGTCTCAGCAGCGCAAAATTATGACAAATGTCAAGTTGTACTGACGTAAAAGTCACATTAATTCCGATCTGGCTGCTCAGACTGAGTCGCATTGCCGCAGATCGGATACATATCGGATTTCAGTACCACATATGAACGTGTCTCAAATCGGAATTGAGAATGTCAGATTCAGTGTGTTTTTGCTGTTCACACTGCCACACATGACAAATCTGTGTCACACATGAGGAAAAAGATCGGATTTGGACCACTTTTACCTGCTGTTTAAACGTAGCCTTAGATTTACAATCCCACATCTGAATCACTAATCTAACTGCTTCTGCAAACCAACTTTGCACATTCCAGTATGTTAATGAAGACAATGAGGGGAACACAACTTTCCACAAAAAAATAAATCAAGAATCAATCAAGACATTGTTTCTATGGGACTGTTTGGCAGCTTCTGCTACATAACAGAAAAAAAAAACATGGACTTGAACTGAGAGGCATAGATCACTGGCAGGATTTCTCTGGATCAACCAGCTGTGGGTCATCACATTACACACTAGGCTAGACTCCCAAACTGAGATTAAGCATAAACTTGGACTAAAAATTATTTCTGCCAGCGAATTACCACTGGCTTTGCAAGGCTTTTTTTTAATTAAAATAGAACATACGTTCAGCATATGTTCAATAATTTACTCAACTGTTTATATGTTAAGGGTGTAAAGATTCACAAAATTCATAATTTGGTTTGTTTTGACACAATGGATGCACTTTTTTGCCCTCATTGTAGGCTTGCATGCATAGTTTTGCTGAACATCACACATTACAATTAGTATTATACCAAGTACTTTATTTGCTCCAGTCGTCAAACATGTTTTTCAATACCTGCACATACTGAATTCAAAGACTCAGATTAGACAATACACGTTATAAATGACACAATATATATTGTCACACTCCTATTGTTAAGCCTTCCCATAGTTCCCTGGATTAAATCTGAACAAAACCACAGACAGATGGTCAAGGGCCATCATCTTTGACCCATAACAACACTTCGGACTAATAATCACAATGACATACAAATTAAAGACTCTTATTTTGAAAACAGGTCCAAGTTTATAAGATTCTTTAAATAAGGATCTGTAAGTCTCCTATAATGGATGATGATAAAGGCTACAACGTCGGCTACATTAGCCTATGTGGTTTAGAGACGTGCATGAGAACAAAGCTTACCTTTACACCAACCGCAACATCACTAATGCTGAAAAAAGAAAAAACAAAGTTGGTTAAAATTAAGCAGAGACCATTTTAATAATAAGATATTCAAATAGCACCTATGATATAACGTTTCCTGGAAAACTGAACAATCGATATTAATGTGCACGGCCAGTGAGAAAAGCTGTCTTTCTGCTGAACAAATTAAGTACATGTTATGGTCGCATTTAACACAAATTTAAACACTGGAAACCGGTGACATTTTAAGCGGAAAATCACTTGATTGTAAATCTCGTCCCATTACTTCACGGCCCAAACCGAAGGCAGGCCATGGCCTCGCCTCCACATGTTAACACAGCCTGAATAATATACAATGTAGCTGACTAGTTAACGTTTCGCTTGCTAACTTAGCTATCTAGCTAGCTAATGCGTTAAGCTAGCTATATCTGTCTCGCGCCTCTTGAACCACCAACACTAACATCTATAGAGACTAAATTACTTTAATGCATGCCTTTGTTACTATCAGCTCGATTAGTCCTAATATTAATTTGTTGCTTTATGAAATAGCTACTAGCTACAGCTAGCTAGCTATAGTTTCCTTTCCTAGCTGTTTCACTTTGTGTCAACGTGCAGCGCCAGAGATTAGCCAGCTAGGTTAGCGAATAAATGTTAGCCGGAGGTAGCTAACCGAGGTAACCGAGGGAGTTTACATAGCTAGCCGGCTGGCTAACTTGTCGACTGTAACAAAAGCAACAGTGACAGAAAGATTAACAAACAAAGGACTTATGCGGCTGTATTGTCGCGTACGGTGTCGTTAACTCTATAGGTAACCAAAACGCTAGCTGTCCAACAAACAGTCAATAAGAAACAAAAGATTCCGTTACCGGCGACACACCTTTTTCGACAAACAGCGACTCGTTAACTAAAAAACAAACACACAGCTCCGAGCCAAGCGAGCAAACTCTCAACAAATAACAGACCTGATGCTGCAGTTTGCTAGTGCTGTTCTTGTGCACTGTGCAGCCATGTGCACGAATAGAAAAAAGACTAGCTAGCTGAAGCACCAGGCTGAGCTAGCGTCTGCTGCTAACTCGTTTCAGCGAGGATCCATTCAGTGAGTTAACCGCTAGCTGTGCTTAGCTTGTTAGCTATCGAGCGCCATGGCTGGGATTAACGTTACCGCTATAACGAAGTAATAAACACGGGTAAGAGCAAAGCTCTGATCTGCCCGCGGGTAATACTTGAATTTCTAACACAGAACAGTAACAATACATGCGAAACTTACCCGTCCATTACTGTAAATATTTCTCCTCAGCCCGGTCCACAGAGCCGTAATTCTTCCGCTCTGCCAACTGCGCACAACGGGACAAAATGGAGGCGGAAACGGAGGACGAAAAAGCGCGGAAACAGACGAGTCAACTCTCCGAGAGAGAGAGAGAGAGAGAGAGAGAGAGAGAGAGAGAGAAGAGAGAAAGACCGCTAAGTTGTGCTCTGTGGTGTCAGTGAAGATCACAGAATTATTAGCCAAAAGCAAATGCAGTTCTTCATAAAAATGTACAATAATGGTAAAGATAGGTAATTTTTTTGCCTCAAATGCTTGTAAATGACGTTATTGTCGAGGGCGGGGTCACCCCGACGCTAAAAGGCAAAATAGTCTAGTGTGGCCTACTGACATGTTGAATGTAAGGTAATTTTACTCTTCTATCAAATCACCCCCACTGCATTTCATTGGACCTTTTAGTTTAGGAATGTCTGTCCACTCAGCAGCGCACCCGGGCGGTTATTTCCACTCTTCCAAGACAGAGATCCAATCTCTGTCCAAGACCAGACTCTTATCTCATTGAATGGGGAGAGCCACATTATTGTTTCAAACGTATTTAAAATCTGCCAAAATTCATATAAAGTGTTTGTAGTGTTTGGTGTAAAAACATCATAAAACACTATTTTCCCACTTGTTCTGGCTAATGTGCATGCACAGATCTCCACAAGGAAGAGGCTTTTCCTGCTTGCGGCTTTATTAACAAGCTGATTGGCGGTTTTATTAGAGGGTGTGTCTTTCCCTGTGAACAGCAGGCTATGGTAAACAGATGTCATGTTGAGTGTTAAAAGCTTCTCCATTTATTTTTCAACCAGTGTTGTCCTCCTTTATAATGGGCTTGTTTAAGATGAACTGTGCCTCGCCTTGGCGGTTGGCAAGAGTAGCCGGTTGCAGTAGAGGAAGAAGCTGAGAAGAGAGACGTACCAAACAGTTTTGGCGGCGTTCTGTTCTGACGAATTGTGCTGCCTTGTTGAAATGCCCTACTATAGCTCCCTACTCAAAACGGGATAGGATATTGTGATAGCCTAAATCAATGTGTCAGAAAATGCTACCAATATTAAAACAACTGGTGATAGTCTAAAAATGCAGGATACTTTAATAACCTCAATCATATTATCAGATGCTACCAGCATCAAAACTATAGATGAGGCCATGATGCGAGTAGTGCAGCAGAATCATGGTGAGGCTGTGTTATGTGCTCTGTTCAACACAGTTTATGTTCGCATGGTTGTCTGCTGAGCTTCTAGCCAATGAAGATTAAGCTCTGTCGTCATCAAGCTGTCTCTCAGCTGATGCAGTCGGGTGGTGAGCAACTGCAGTGTCTGGCTCTGAAACTGATTATAACCATGTAGACCAATGTCATTGTGAAGTGCAGGTGGTGCCGACAAAAAATGTAATGACATGCACCGTAATGACCTATACAGTGCTATGCAGCACCATGTTGGGTCAAACAAGCCTAATATCTCTGCTCTGGCTTGACTTTTCCCATTTTTTGAACTTGTCTGATGTTGATTGTTATTAATTATTAGATTGCCATGCATAAGCCAGATTCTTGAGCCCCATTGTTGTAATGTTACACCTTCTAACTTGTTCACTTTACCCTGGATGCAGTCGATCAGCCAAGTCATGTCTAGTGTCCAAATTTTGCTTATTTTTTGAGCTACAAGGCTAATTTTTGCAAAGAAACAGTAAAAGTCAATAGCACCAAGATGTTTTCCATAAATACATCCTTTTCTCACAACCCACTCAAAACTAAATGCAGGTCTTTATTAAAGTTACACAGACTTGTCAGTGTGGTTTAGTTCACAGTAGGGGTGGGAATCTCTAGGCACCTTACGATTCGATTCGATTACAATTCAGAGGGCTGCGATGTGATTATAAAACGATTATCGATGCATCTCAATGCATCTTTTTTTTCTATATAGCAATTATATTTTCTCACTGTGTGAGCTCAAGTTTCGAGTTCGAGTGATGTGGCAAGTGAACTAGAAGGCTCTCATTCTGTGCTGCTGTTTGGAGCATGAGAAGCTGTTGCTACTCATCTGCGATAAAATGCACAGTTATGGTGAAATAAGATCCAGTGGTAATGGATGACCACACAGCATATGTTACAGCCATTCTACCCGTTTTCTTTAGTGATTTTATAACTTCGGCTTTGGTCTCATTGTAGGGACGGGGGGGATCGCTGTGTCAGTAAAGTATCTTTGAGACGGGATGTGTGCAACATAGCGTGAAAGCCCTGTTTCGCAACAACTGAGAACCGGCGTGCAGACTGCAGGTCACCTAGCAACGATGCGTTATTCGCATATATAAGCAGCGCAGTTGGTTTCCTGGTCTGTTAAATCTGCAACAAGGGACTGTCAAACACTAAAAAGTGGCGAAGCTGAAGTCAGCTTCTCTTTCGAATTCTCCCGTTCCACCTTAAATGGTGCCACATTTACATTCGGCGCCTCAGTTAGAATTTAAGGTGGAACGGGTAAATTCGAACAAGAAGCTGGAGAATAAGGAGCGACTTCAGCCTTGTAAAACAGTTGAACGTTGAGAGACATTTAACTGATCTACTTCTGAGGAAAAGTTTTCTGGCGGAGATGGAAGAAAAGCGGCTATAGCTGAGCTAAAGCTTAAAGCAGAGCAGAGTAAATCTGTGTTTTCGTTTATATTGTTTAGCCTAGACCAGGACATTATCACATACTGAGACATACTGGACATTAAACATTGCAGCTCCCAAGGTGGTTTGATTTTTGTTGAAAGGACAAAATGGCTCTTCTTATCATTTGTGTTGTGACTCCTGATCTAACCTGGCTTTTAATGCAGAGGGAGCCGGTCGGATTTCTCGATCATCCATGTGTGTTTTTGTTAAGTGCCGCCACAGACTGTCTGGGCGCTGCCCTTCCGCACTTCCAAGTTCCGCCTTTTGCGTTCCGTCAACATTACGTTATTAATTAAATATTTAGAAAATCGATTTTTGACATTTGTGAATTGATTCAGAATCGTTCACGTCCGCATCCCGATGCATCTAAGAATCGATTTTTTCCCCGCACCCCTAGTTCACAGTATGATTTACTGTGAACTATGTACATGGATGAAACTTCACAGTGTAGTTGTGGGCAGCCCCTTTAGACAGTACCTAATGAGAGAATCTTAGCTGGTTGACCAGCAGAGCGTTGTTTCATTTGAGTTTGATGGTTTAGCTGGTCAACCAGCATGACTAATGCAACCAAGCTGGTCAACCAGCATAACCAGCTTGATTAAGCTGGTCAACTAGCTTGGTCAAGCTAGTCATGCTAGTAGACTAGTTAAACTCTCAAACAAAAACTTATCCTAAACTGTTCTATCAGCTTAACCAACTTAAACAGGCCTATCTGTTTAATTGTTTTTTTCAGCAGAGTAAAGAAGCAACATTTGAACACCAAACATGTCAACTACACCTGTGGTAAGAAAAAAATTGTGTTTGAATTTTCTAAACCTTTCCTTTAAGGAAGGCTCATGAACACAGATGTTATCGAGTGCAAGGGATGCCTGCAGTTATTGGAACATCTGACTCCAGAAAGTCATTTTTGTAAAGTTTCACTTATTTTCATTATCAGTGACCTTGTTTAAATTGTTCAATTAAGAACATTCACATACCCATGCATATAATTCTATTTTAAATCTCAAACTAAAAATGCTGATTACAAAGACTATTCTAATATACAACACTATATATAGGGTGTACATATACACATTCAAATGTACACACATACCTTTAAAGTAAATATCTGGAATTAACCTGTAGAGGCCAACTAAAGATAAAAAGTATTATTCCCCTTCTTGTAAATCCATTTTCAAGTGAAAAAGTGTTTCAAGTAAATCCATTTCAGATTTTACATCCCCTATTCGAATGGTGACAACACATTTCAGACTTTGTTCAGTCTTACTATACAGACTTTATTTCCAGGACAAAATGTTTTCATTCCTCATCCTGTCAGTGTATCCACTGGCATAGCCTGGACTCAACATGCCATTTCTGACTGCAATACATGTGCCCAGCTTAATACAGATGTTTCGTCATTTAATGTTAGCATCTGTCTCAGCATCACTCAACCAAGAACCACTCAGTGCTGGACTCCTGGTATGTGTGACCAAACATATACTCTATCCCACAGTGTCACTCATATCATCACCCCTTTTGTGGTGTGTGGAGAAGCATTCAGATATGTCACCATTTTTAGGGGAAATTCCTAGAGCATAATGTGGGTTTGCAGTACACCTAAACTGTAAGAGTAATGGTTATAATCAACAAAAACGGCCCTTCACAGTGGACTTAACACCAGATAAACAGGCTTCATGCTAATGGCTTTTGTCATGTTTTTACACTTACAGCAACAGATTGGTTGTGGAGGCACAGCCCTTATTAAACTACCCATTCAGAAAGTAAAACAAAGCAAAAAAAAATCATACCTAAAATACGACTGACTACTTTCCTACTTTACAACACATTAATTAAGCCCTTGCAACAAAAAGTAGTATATGTGACATTTTTTGTAAAAATCATGTAAGCATGGTATGGCATTGTTTGATGCCCTGTTTTTTAAAATAAAGGGGTAACTAAAACATAAAAAAGCATAGTTTGGCTTTTTAACGTAAAGGTTTGTACTAAATACAATAGAAAACAAAATAACTGATAATCCAAAAAAGGGTGGAATGGTTAATATATAGTTTTTGTTGGAAGGGCATAATTGATGGAGGGGCTTAACTGACTACAACCACCTTAAAATCAGCTGCAAAGCAGCAGCTCCTGTTTCCTATTTGAAGAATGCACATTTTAATTAATAAATTAGTTAAATTTGAATCCACTAAGAGGTCAAGCTTCTCTATATTGAAAATTAAGAATCTGAAAAGTTTCTTCTAATCAAATAATATAGGTTCTTGGCTGGTAGGTTTTTGTATGTTGGGGCAAAACTGAAATGAACAGTACAACAGTAAATCTAAAAGCCTTATGTATTACAGCTCTGAATTTTTGGATGAGGCAGAATACAGGGAGGCACAACAGCATTCTAAGAGGTAAAGATAAAGAGAGGTTGGAAAATGAATTATTTTTTTGT